AAAGGCTGCGCCGATCGTGCCGAAGAGCGCATCGAGCGTCGCCTTGGAATATTACAAGAACACCCCGGTGCAAAGTCGTACGCGAAAGATCAGTATGCCCACTGGACGCGAGATCAGTGGTCAGATGCACAGCACACCGACGTTGCATGCCGTGCCGGAGCGTGGCGGTGTCATGGTCGAATCCACCAAATATATTAGAACAACGAGATCACCCCTGCACTCACCCAGCACGTCGTCTTTCAATTACGTCAGTACGCCGTATCACGGTAGCACGCTCTCAGTTCTGCATCCAGAACGTGCGTCCACGTTGACGTTAAACGCAATCTCCAGCACGTTCACCAGAAAGTCGACGATGAGGGAGCAGAAGCGGCGCGAGCACCACGAGAAGGATCAACAGAACAAATTCTTCGATTTCAGCTTGCTCAAAGATCCCATCTACCTCGTCATCCTCATCTCCAATTCCACCAACGCCATCAGCTATACCAATTTCGTCATTCTGCTGCCAGCCTATGCCATTTCTCTAGGTTACAACAATTGGGACGCATCGTTGTTACTGTCGATCGTCTCCATGCTCGACTTGGTAGGCCGTATCGGTGGTTCCGCTCTCTCCGACATCAAGATCATGCCCAAGCATTGGTACTTTATCGGCGGTCTGCTCGCCTCCGGGATCTCTTTGGCCATCATGCCCACTTCCAATACGTATACCGTACTGTCCGTTTATTGCGCCTTTTTTGGTCTTGCGTCCGGCATCTACGTCGGTATCACCGCCGTTATCATGGCTGATATGCTGGGCACGGAGAAACTCACCTCGTCCTACGGCATCTCGTTGTTCGTCAACGGTGTCATTCAATTGGTGGGACCGCCAATTTGCGGTATAGTGTTCGAGCAGATCGGCAGCTACGGACCAATCTTTAGTATACTAGGCATCATTCTGGTGTTCGGCTCATCTCTTTGGATTATGGTGCCGTTCATCCGGAAAAGACAAGCAGCGTTGAAAAAGCCCGCCAGGATAGACAAAATATAGTAGACCAAATAAACAAAATAAAGTATAGACGTCTGTCTTCGTCGTTAGTATCTGAAAAATCGTAGTTTTTTCATTTTATATTTTCGAATTTAAGTTTTGGGATAATCGTGTATCGTAAACATATACATGCGAACGAAAAAAATATCCCAGGTTTTTAAATTTTAAAATATAAAATTAAATATAAAATTATAAAAAAAGAAGCGTGCGACTCGATATTTTGCGAGGACACGCACGAGCTTAATTACGCGGTCATTTAAAAGTCGTGCGAGCAGCGTATACATATTTAAGTGTGTAAAAAGAGAGAGAAAGAGAGAGTGTGAGAGTGATCGAATATTATAATTATATAATATAATATTAAACTGTGATGTTAGTACGAGTGTCATGAAGTTACATTGACGAAGTTTTCGGACCGAGCGAGTTATAATGAAAGGAAGTATCAAAATTTTCGCTTAGTCCGATGACTATACGAACTATCTACGATAATTAATTGTCGAATAACTATTGACTGTAAAAAAAATATAATTTATCGCCAAGCGGTAAATGTGGAGAAAAAAAGTTATATATTAAGCACTTTTTTGTTTGTTGTTTTGAGAAATTACTAATGCTTGTATGTAAGTAATTAATTCGTGCAAAACATTTATCTCAGAAAACGAAACAAAAACGTTTTGTTCTATATTGTCATTACATTTAGTAAATTAAGCGAAAAATAATTTATTGTAAATACTGTTACATTCAATTGCAATTTTGATTATTGTATGTACAGAGTGAAGTAATAATTCATTTAGAATGTTTTTCTTATGAAAATCAAATATCGCATGTGCATTATAACACGAAAAAATTAAAGCAAAAATTTGTTTAAAAATTAATTTATCGTTCATCTTTCCAAGTAAGTAAAGATGATTTTATTAAAATTCAATATTGTTTTAATATTAAAACGAAAAATTGAGAACAGCGCACAAAAAGTTTAGAAAAATGCATTTAAAACTAGTACTTATGACGTTGAAGTGCAAGAGGTACTTAAAATAAATAATACTTAATACAATAGAAATGTAATTTTTAGAAATAAAATTTCTTTAAGATATTCAAGAATGAAAATAATTAAAAATATCTATTATATTATTGGTTTGATTCTTTGAAAATCATACGAGAGACGAAATATTTATTTGTTTTAAGATACAAAAAAGGCTATATTCAACGGAATTGACTTCACTCTATGTTAGTAATTTAGACTCTAATTTAATCACATTTACCGCCAAATATGCGCTATTGTTTATTATATCGGCGATGAGATATCGCACAATGCAATCTTACACATCGTAGTTTATCTTTATAAAGCGAATTATTTATATAGGCATTTTGAGATAAGAATTTTTGAGGAACACATGAAACGCGTCCTACCTTGGAAGAAAATTTCTTGCCTTACATCTAAAAAAAAGTAATTGTCCTCTCTTTGAAAGTAAAATTTTTCCACTGGCACGAAGACTATAATCTAATTTTATTCGAGTACTTAGTAAGAAAAACAGCGGTCGTGACTGCTGTTAATTTCAAAACAAAAATTTGATGAGGTAATTTAGTGCATATACCAATGTCGTCTATGATAGGCCTACAATAAAATAAACCGTCACGCACTGTAGGCATAGTGTCTCCTGAAAACTTATATGTAAATGCTATTTTAATGCTAGAGTGATCGAAAGTGGATTCTACTTACAAGAAACCATTGTCTTCCTATTCTATGACTCTTGACAGTAACGATATCGTTATATTGTCACGCGCAACTTTTTTTTACCATATACAAAACTTGCACAACAATATAACAATTTTTGTCTGTTACTGTCATTAAAAGTTACAGAATAGGAGCCTTAGTCATTAGAGAAGAGAATCACTTTCGAATAGAGGCTGCCCTTTTCTTCTAAATTAAGAATAAAAAAATCGAAAGGATCCGCAAGAAGTACAAGACGTGTATGGTCGTATAAACAGAATATGCCCGGCGAAATGTCGATTTTACGCCTTTTTAGCGTCAATACCGTCTTTCGACACTAGAAAGAGATTTGACTCGAATTTTTTCAAAATCCGCCGGAAATAATGCCTTATGAGTAGATCATAAGTAGTTTGTAAAAATGTGTAATATATAAAAAAAAATATATTATGTTTATATAACTCTATACAAATACACAGAATAAAACTAATGTTTCAGAATAGAGTTTATTAACATTTTTCTTATTAACTCATTATGTATTCAAATATTATAAAAAAATTATTTAAATTTTATTCTTTTATTCACGCGTACTATAATTTGTGTATATTTGTTACTTGATATGATTAAATTATAATTTTATTTTTATTTTACAAATAAGAGTTAAAATTAATCTCAATATAAAATAGTAATGGTTAGAAATTTTTCGAAAATAACTTAATTGTTGCAATCTAGATCATGTTACGAAATAAATACAGTTGAACGTTATTCTCTATATTTCCAAAACAAATGCCAGAATTTGGCATTTAGAAATGGTTTATAAGAGAAAAGAATATTTATCATATATAAAAATATAACTAGGGCGTAGAGCTAATTTAATTTAACGAATTATTTTAATTCGTATATTAATACAACGTCAGACGTTTCGACTCCGATCGGGTCATTTTCAATGATACAATAATTTTAAAAAAATAATAAGGCTCAATATGTATAAAACAATATAAAAATATAACTAGGGCGTAGAGCCAATTTAATTTAACGAATTATTTTAATTCATATATTAATACAACGTCAGACGTTTCGACTCCGATCGAGTCATTTTCAATGATACAATAATTTTACTTAAAATTAAATTAATATTATACAGTCTTCATATTGTTGAAATTCCGTGTATAAAATTTGAACATTCGTATTTGTATGTGTTTTTATCTTTGATCCTGATAAAAAAAAAGTATAAAAATTAACATTGTTTAAAAATTCAACTACTAAATGTCTTATTAACCCTGTCCAAATTATTAAAATCTAATACAAATATAAAAGTCATATAAGGTAAATGTACCATTTCGTGGACACGACCCAATTGTTGGACAAATTGTCACAAATTTTAAATATTAAGCTTTTGATGATATGTGTTGCTAAATAAATTTTTAAGCAATTTTTTATATTATTTAGAAATTAAGTATTATATAATTTATTTATATTTAAAATGATACTTTTGTAAAAAAAATTTCGAAATAATGTACTAATGGCAACGAGTAAAACATCTCGGTATCTAAAGCAAAAGCTTTAGGAATAGAGATACTTTTCTTTAGCATATAATTGTTAAATTTTAATTTTTTATTATATGAATAATATGTACATTTAAAATATACACTGATGAGTAATTCTGATTAAAAAATTAATTAAATATATTAGAATGAATAAAATTAAAGATTTTAATGAATCTATGGCTCGTAGCCCTGTTCTCTTATTAGTTTTAAATTCATTGAGCCTTATTACAATTTAAATTTTAAATCACGCGGGCGAAATGATGCGTTTAGAATTACAATTTGATTAAGGGGACGTTATTTCAGATGATTAGGAGTTGCGTTTCAAGACCGACGATAGTTCGGCGCGCAATTTGGGGGGACTTTTCAGATAGAGTTGCGTTTTAAGACCGACGATTGTTCGGCGCGTAATGTGAGGGGGGTGAGAGGGGAATACATGTAGTACTTTAGATAAATATTGCGAAGAATATTACTACGTCGACCCGCCATCAAAGGTCTATTGATATTCGCAAATTCTCGCAAGTGCTGAGACACGCGTATATGTCTTTATATAGAATCTCGATTTAATAACTTACACCGGCGTCTAAGGTAGGCTTCCATTACAATACCTTACTGATGAGTCCATATTGGAAGCCGGGACGAAACGCCAACATTACGTGATAATCTTCGCAATATATTAGAATGAATAAAATTAAAGATTTTAATGAATCTATGGCTCGTAGCCCTGTTCTCTTATTAGTTTTTAATTAAATATAGTATCAAATTATTTATTAAAATTAATAAAAAGGAATGTCTAATAATGGGATCGTCCATAAACAAGCGCACCACTATTTTATGTTTCTACTAGTCATTGAACCGTCAAAAGAACGATACGTTGTAATGTCGTTAATTTAAGAACAAATCAACAAAGGACTTAATGAAAGCATGGTAAGTTAATTGACGTTCAATAATGACAATATAAGTCATATTTTTATACTGCTTGTCTTAAGAAAATATAATTTTAGTTGATGTATACTAATAATTTTGAATAATTTGCAAAACTTAACCTCAACATAACCTCAACATAACCTCAATTTACATTAATAAATGTAATAATCTTTATTTTCATTTCTTGAAGGCTAAAACAGTAAAAAAGAAAAATGTAACAAAAAAACGTCAAAGGTATAACCAAACTGACCTTGATAACGCCTTATCATTAATCAAAAAAGGACTTAATGAAAGCATGGTAAGTTAATTGACGTTCAATAATGACAATGGGTGCTTTCCAGCAAGGACAGAATCAGACACTGTGTAACACAGAGAATTATTTCATTCTCGTTTAACGTAGGCAAACAACAGGAATACAATGATTCACTGTGTTACACAGTGTCTACTTGTGTCGTAGCTGGAAAGCAGCTAATATAAGTCATATTTTTATACTGCTTGTCTTAAGAAAATATAATTTTAGTTGATGTATACTAATAATTTTGAATAATTTGCAAAACTTAACCTCAACATAACCTCAATTTACATTAATAAATGTAATAATCTTTATTTTCATTTCTTGAAGGCTAACACAGTAAAAAAGAAAAATGTAACAAAAAAACGTCAAAGGTATAGACAAGCTGATCTTAATAACGCCTTATCATTAATCAAAAATGTACTTAATGAAAGCATGGTAAGTTAATTGACGTTCAATAATGACAATATATAAGTTATATTTTTATACTGCTTGTCTTAAGAAAATATAATTTTAGTTGGTGTATACTAATAATTTTGAATAATTTGCAAAACTTAACCTCAACATAACCTCAATTTACATCAATAAATGTAATAATCTTTATTTTTATTTCTTGAAGGCTGAAACAGTAAAAAAGAAAAATGTAAAAAAACGTCAAAGGTATAGCCAAACTGACCTTGATAACGCTTTATCATTAATCAAAAAAGGTAGCACAAGTTTAAGGAAAGTGTCACAACAGTACAAAATTCCTAAAAGTACTTTATCTTTAAAAAACCGAGGTGATCGTGACGGGCTAATTATACGACCAGGGCCAAAACCAATTTTACCTATCGAGGATGAAAATAAAATTGTAACGTGGATTTTAGAACGTTTCGATGCAAAATGTCCTGTAACCAAAACGCAACTGTTAGACAATGTGAAACTCTATCTCGATATTAATAAAGAAGATTCTCTATTTAAAGATAATCGACCAGGAAGGCACTGGTTTGAAAGCTTTTTAAAACGTCATCCTCAAATTTCGAAACGGATGAGCAAAAAACGGGTAAGCAATGCTCGTAACAAGGCAACAGAAGGAAAAATTCGAGCTTGGTTCACTGAAATACAACATTATTTGGAGCTTAAGAATCTTATCAATGTCGATCCATCACGTGTATTTAATTGTGACGAAAGTGCTTTTTTTTTACATCCAAGTGGAGATCGTGTTCTCGCTAGAAAAGGATCAAAAATGGTGCATAAAGTCATAGATGGTAGTGATAAAGAGACTTTGACCGTTCTATATACTGTAAATGCTGCTGGAACTATTCCACCACCAATGATTGTATATTGGTACTCAAGAATACCATTTGAAGTTTCCAGCAAAATACCTAAAGGTATTCCTCATTTCTTATTATTGTAATTTACTAAATTAAATTAACTAAAATACATTTATTGTATCCTCTGCATTCAGTCTTTACTTTTCATTTATTTAAGAAAAATTTTAATCAAAACGTATTTTCGCAGAGTGGAGCTTTGGATGTACAGAGGAGGGATGGATGACATCTAAAAGCTTTTACGAATACATCACGAATGTGTTCTACCCATGGTTGTTAAAAAATAAGATCAAATTTCCGATAATTCTATACTTGGATGGACATAGCTCACATCTTACAATGCCACTATCAGAATTTTGTCGCGATAAGGGCATAGAAGTCATCGCATTACCTCCTAATGCGACTCATCTTCTTCAACCACTAGACGTCGGATTCTTTGGGCCTTTAAAGAAGAATTGGTCAAAAGCTGTAAATGATTGGAAATTCCTACATCCCAATGTTAAATTTCAAAAATCCGAATTTGCTCCTTTACTTAAAAAAACCACTGATTCCATGAATTTTCAATCTATTGCAAAGAATGCCTTCCGAGTGTGCGGTTTATTTCCATTAGATTCCAACGTTGTCCCTTACAATAAACTAGGTAAGATCAATTTTGATCAAAAGTCGAATAATGACGAAGAAGATTCCAACGTTGTCCCTTACAATAAACTAGGTAAGATCAATTTTGATCAAAAGTCGAATAATGACGAAGAAGATTCCAACGTTGTCCCTTACAATAAACTAGGTAAGATCAATTTTGATCAAAAGTCGAATAATGACGAAGAAAGTGAAAATACCGTCAGTGATGAAATAAAAGAATTTCAAAAGCATCTTGTTTTTTTCGAAAAAAATTTATCAAATGATATTCTATCTTCTTTCAAAGAATGCCAAAAATTAGGATTACATAGTTTTTCTTCTGATATTACTAACGATGGATTGTATAAATGTTGGCTCCAAATGAAACAATTAGCCGATAATTTTATTTAAGCGAATTTTTTCTCTTTTATAGAGAATTGTATTATTATATTGAAATTTTTTACGTATTAAATGTTATCATTTAGGAGATAAAACGGATTTTTACGATACTTTGACAAACAATGAGATTGTATTAGATAATTTGGAAAATGATATAACTGAATCGGTTTTGTTCGAAATTATTTTACCTTCAAACGACGAAATAAACCACTTTAACACTATTACTAATCAGGAAAATACCGAGAAAATAGAAATCCCTCCTTCTAACGAGATCTTTCCAAATTTACTCATTGAAAACACAATAAGTGAACCACCTAATATTGAAGTGTCTTCTGAAGCGACAATGTTACAAGATACGCAAAATGAGGGGAACCTTATTAACATTTATGAAGGTAAATGTTTCTGATGCAAAAATACAAATTTATATATTTCTTATATATTATTTGAAATTAATATAAAGTCCTTTTGTAATTTTTAGAAGGAAATTTACAAAAAAAAGATATTGAAAATGAAGAAACCTCAATTTTCAAAGAAATTTTTATATGGCCCATAGAATCACAGACTTCTAAAAGTACACGCAGAATAGATAAAATTCCCTCTGTTGTGACATCAGACGAATGGAATAAATATCAAAGAAATAAGGAAGAAGAAAAGTTGTTTAAGCAAAAAGAATTACAGGATAAAAGAGAAACAAGAAAGCGACTTCAGAAAGAGAAAGCTGAAGAAAAAGCCAAGAAAAAGTTTATTGCAGAAAATAAAAAGCTGATGAAAAAAGAGGCTGTTCCTATCAAAAAGAAAAGAAACAAAAATAATAATCAAATTAATTAGACTCATTAAAAAACTGTTATTACTACACATTAAAAAACTGTTATACTAAATATTATACACATAAGAATATGAAGTTTATTTTTGTTCTGTCCAATTTAAAAAACATCTTGTATATGTTACAAATAAAACTTTATATTAAACTTCACTAATTACGATTTCAATAAACTTTTTTGTACAATCTTGATTGATAAGTAAATAAAATGCGATTCTCTTCTACAATAAAAAAATTGCTTATTATTTATCCAATAATTGAGTCATACTTTTGTGGACACAGAGAACGTCACATTTTTTGTCCAATAATTAGGACATTTGAATCATATTATATTTATGACTAAATACAATTTATAATAAACGCAAATAACATATTTGATAATGGATTTAGTTTCAGAAAACATCCATTCTTACTAAGCATGTGTAATAAACTAAAATTTTAATGTTTCTAAAGTTTAAATAAATGATTTCGTCATATAATTCCTTAACTGTCCAATAACTGGTACATTTACCTTATATCTTGTCAAAAATAAAATAAAAATTTTTGTAATCTGTCCATGTGTAAATATCCTCTGCGTCAATTTATTATAAAATATATTTGGAGTAATAAAATAAGATAAGATACTTTGCAGCTGTCAAATTTGAACACGTATCATTATAAAACTAAATAGGATAATGTCGTTGGAATAGAAAGTCAAAGAATAAACTAATAAAAATAACAAGGAAAGACACATTTAAGACGAGGATAGGAAATGTATCATATTGGTGTACATTTCAGGTAATGATTCCGTGTCATTCTATCTATATCTTATCTTATTTTATTACTCCAAATATATTTTATAATAAATTGACGCAGAGGATATTTACACATGGCAAATTACAAAAATTTTTATTTTATTTTTGACAAGGTATATATGACTTTTATATTTGTATTAGATTTTAATAATTTGGACAGGGTTAATAAGACATTTAGTAGTTGAATTTTTAAACAATGTTAATTTTTATACTTTTTTTTATCAGGATCAAAGATAAAAACACATACAAATACGAATGTTCAAATTTTATACACGGAATCTATGAATTTCAACAATATGAAGATTGTATAATGTTAATTTAATTTTAAGTAAAATTATTGTATCATTGAAAATGACCCGATCGGAGTCGAAACGTCTGACGTTGTATTAATATATGAATTAAAATAATTCGTTAAATTAATTTGGCTCTACGCCCTAGTTATATTTTTATATTGTTTTATACATATTGAGCCTTATTATTTTTTAAATAATGCGTTTATAAATTACAAGTATATTAAGGGGAAGTTATTTCAGATTATTAGAGTTGCGTTTCAAGACCGAAGATAGTTCGGCGTGCAATTTGGGGGGAATTTTCAGATATAGTTGCGTTTTAAGACCGACGAATGTTCGGCGCGCAAGTTGATAAAGGAGGGGGGTGGGAGGGGAATTACATATATTACTTTAAAATAAATATTGCGAAGAATATTACTACGTCGACCCGCCATCAGAGGTCTATAGATATTCGCGAAAATTCTCGCAAGTGCTTTGATACGCGTATATCTGTATATATAGAATCTCGATTTAATAACTTAAACAAGCGTTTAAGGTAGGCTTTCACTACAATGCCTTACTGATGAGTCCAGTAGTGGAAGTTGGGACGAAACGCCATAATTATGTGATATTCTTCGCAATATATATTAGATTAATTTAAAAAGGTTTTAACGGAATTATTGGCTCTTGCCCTTACCTCCTATATTAGTTGTATTAGTTGTTTAATACATATTGAGCCTTATCTCAATCATTTATTATTTTTTATTTTTTAAATTTTTATTTATCATATATTTTACTTTATCGATATATTTATATATACATACTTGCTTGTCTGAATTATGACCTAAGTGACTATAATCTAAATGAAAGCATTTATTTTTCCTTCGAGATAGGTTCAGCAATTGCTGGAGCATCCCGGAAATTAGGAAACTGTTCCCACGGGGCGGCTAGTTCAAATTTACGAAATTCTTGCGTCAATTCTAATGGTTCAATCACTATTCTTTTATATTCGTCGTCGTAACGAACCTAAAATATAAATCATTGACTATTAGGACAATAAATATAAGAACAATACAAAATTTAATATTTTATAATTTATCATTCTTAGATATATTTGAAGACATTATTCTTTTAATAAAATTTGACAATTATAATTTAAGGCAAAAATTGTTAAATTCATTAAAATGTAAACAATTTAATACTATGTTAAAAACAATGATATACAAATGTTTGTTAAATAATTACCTCAACATAGCCACTGAGTGGAAAATCTTTTCTCAATGGATGTCCTTCAAAACCATAATCTGTAAGAATCCTACGAAGATCTGGATGATTTGAGAAGAATACACCAAACATATCCCATACCTCTCGTTCATACCAATCAGCAGCTTGGAATATACTGTAGATGGAATCAACTGGCGTCAACTCATCAGTATATGTTTTCACTCTGATACGTGAATTATATCGCAATGATAGTAGATTGTAGACAAGCTATGTAATAATCAATACAATATAATACTTTATTTATAAAATTTCATTGTCTATTTGTAACTGTATATTTAATATAAACTAATATAAAGTACTCAGGTTTCTTCACATATAAAGTAAATTTACCTCAAATCTATATTGTCTACTGGGTACATCTAGAGCAGTAATATCTGATAGATTAACAAACTGTGTATTATGATGATCTTTTAGAAATGTAAACGTTGGGATGATGCCATCAGGAGCAATTAACACTTCCAACTCGTCACCAGCAGTCAGCTGTACTTGTTGTATGTATTTAGGTAGACATTGGTTGATATAACGACCAAAGTCTATCAGGCAGTCAACGTCAACATGACTGGGTTTTCGTATCGTAGCTGTGAAAATATTTGAATAAGCTAATAATTTTGTTAAATACTTTGCATATATATAGATATTTCAGAATTATTTTTTTGCTAACAAAAATAAAAAATCAATAATCTCTATCAAATGTAGAAAAATTGTAATAGCTTATTTTTGAATATTAAGTTAAATAAATAAATTGTACATACGACGAGATTCAGCTTTCTCGGTCTTCTCGCTGATAGTCGTAGTATTGTATCTTATCAAGGATGGAGAAATGCCACCATAACCTGTCAAATACGAAAACGTATGTTATTACATAATTCAATACAAAAATTATTCCTATAATTAACACTCCATTACATTTTGGCGTAGCAAATGGTAAACTTCGCGATAATCTCCAACAGTTTTTCAATATCGATGTCATTTTCCAAAAGAATATCTTAAATACGATTACGAATACACACTAACGTTATATGTGTACATGCTGCACTTTCATAACCGCCAATGACCAATCGGACCAACAGCAACTACATTGACGAATTAACTAACACCGACATTACCGACACTTATACTAATTAACACACACATATCCAACAATAATACAATACTTTTTTTTAAATAATAAATAAGATTAATATAACTATTTTGTATAAAATTAGCGTTTAAGTTTTTATTTTTTAATGTTTCTATTCAAATTTATTCTATTATGTTGTTTTACATATTTTTAGTAATAAATATAGGAATTATCTTATTTATAATAAAAATCATATCTTCCTACATTAATTTACATCAATTTTTTTACTTTTTACTAAGTCTAGATATATATACAGTAAAAAAAGCATCAAATATCGACATTTTTAATATTGTTTATATTTAATGTATACAACAAATTTAATACTCACTTTGTAACATAATTCCTTATTGTACTACTGTTACTACATATGTCGATTCATAAAATTATATTTGTTTATTATATAAAATTATATTTGTTTAAAAACTTTATATTTTAATTTTACAATACAAGTAAATCATTTGCGTAATCGAAGTGAACTCCTTGTTGGAGTTTCCCGTAACGATTTATTCATTCTAGTTCGTTTTGGAGACGGCGATATGTTAACATTACTAAGCATTTTTGCGTCTTCCTTTGTATGTTCTCTTCTTTTACCTATAAGAAAGTAAAATAAATTTGTATTATTATTATTCTCTATTACTTCTGATATTTTGCACCCAAACAAATAATGAATACATTATCCCCATTGTCAATCAGATCAGTTCTTGTAAAGTGTTCAATATAATATATATGTTCAATATAACATATATATTATATTAAAATATAACAAAATTACATATAATTGTAATTAATAGAAACTGAGAGTTACAACTTTATGTAATAATTTATAATAATTTCAAAAATGTTTCATACATTGTTTGATATTAACTTATATATGATATGAATTAAAAATTATTTTTACTCAATATCTATCATATGTGTAATTTACATATTATATTATTCTTTTACTATTTAGAATTTACTATTTGGAAAAATTCTAGAATGTTATAATATATAAATAATAAATGTGAAAAAATGGGCTTAGGAGAAATCAGCGTGGAATAAAGTGCACAAGTATATATTGTAAGACAACTTTAATTATATATTGTTAATCATCCGACATAAAAAAACCATACGTTTCGACTCAAGTTCAAGCCATTTTCAGCGCAAAAAGAATGGTGAGCTGCTGCTATTACCAGGGATTTTATTTGATGTATTGTTGCATCTTTGTTATCTTAAGGACTGATTGTTCCATCTTTCAGTAAACTTTACCTGTTAGGTGAATCTGGCAATCCGCGCACATGATTGGGTAATCTTGCTACTTATCTAACAAGTAAACTTTACCAAAAAGATGAAACAATCAGCTCTAAGTCTATTTTGTTATAGTATCGGAGGAACCAAGATATTAAACACATCCTTGTTATACTCAAACCAGTTCCCAGATCAGATGGGAAGGATTGTATATCTCTTAAACTCCATTACTGCAGTAATTTGGTTATTAACAACAAATTTTAATCTCAATATAAAACCGTCAAAGTGATAAAAATTCACTTTTAAATAGTATACGTTAACACAATGTGTCCAACATAATATTTTTATGTCGAATTATCATATTATGTTAACGTACTCTATTTAAAAGTAAATTTGTATTACTTTGACAGTCTAGGAACTGGTTTGAGTACAGCAAGAATGTGTTTAATATTTTAATTCTCCTAAGCCTTGATTCCTCCTAAGCCCATTTTTTCATTGTATTAATTGTTGATTATAGAGTCAGTTTTAATTGATTATAATAAACAAATTACATATATAATAGATATTAAGTAAAAATAATTTTTAACATACATATAGTGAATATGTAAGAATATCTTAAATGTAATTTTTATTTAAGATATTCTTACACATACACACACACGCACACGCACACACACAAATGTAAATAAAAATTTCTTATGTCTACACATATTCAAACAAATACTACTATTCATTCTAAAAGCCAACTATAAATACCAAAAATTATTCATTCTATTAATTACTTAATTACAATAAATTTCAATTCAATTTAAGTTAAAAAACCAATACCGTGTTTGACAGATATCGAGGTAACTGAGTCTCTACTGACATCAGAATTATCTTCACCACTATCCTTAATTGATTTTGCATGAGAAATATTTTCTTTATTGGTTGATTTTTCTGAATTATTTTTTGCTGTGAAATAAGTATTAAATTTTTTTTTTAGATATCAGTGTGTACATTTTGAATACACATATATACAATTATTACACAAACGTTTATTGAGATATTTAACTCTATGATCTAAATCATCTCTATTGTGTATTCCTATTTAATGTAATATTGAGTCATACATATATTCTTTTAACATACAATGTATAAAAAAAACGAGATTAATTTTAAACTTACATTTTATAATGGGTATATTATCTATATCTTCTTCAGAGTCATCGGAGCTATCTTCGTCTTCATCGCTCGTACTTTTACATCTGCTTCGACGAATATTTTTCTTGTTCCTTGGCACACCAGATGGTGGTGGCATTAAACGACTGTCTGTTATCTCGTCATCTGTCATTTCGTTATCTTTAGCCTCCACAAGTTCCTGTATTTTCTCTTCCAATTCTACACAAACTGCTTTCGCATCCGCCTTTTTCTTTGTTTGCTCGATTATACTTCGTAAAGCCGTTAATACTGGTTTATAATGAATTTTCTCTTTTAATAATGGTAAACTTTCGATCAGACGTCGTATACCTTCAAGAAAGATAAAACATGATTATTTTCTTTTGATAAATTGTGTTATTAAACATAATTATCTCACTTACTCTTTCCACTGAATTGTAAAAGCGAAAGGCAATAAGAAAGATCACGCCACTGTCTCTCTGTGGCAGCTAATTTAAATCTAGCACAAATCTTGTCAATTATTGTATCGATTTGCTTCTCCTTCTGCATTAGGCCAAGAATATACCTGTAAATCAAAATAAGTAATAATAAGAAGGCTCAATATATATAAAACAATTTAAAAATATAAATAGGACACAGAGCCAAATTAATTTAACGAATTATTTAATTCATATATTAATACAAAGGCAGACGTTTCGACTTCGATCGGGTCATTTTCAATGATACAATTATTGTACTTAAAATTAAATTAACTTTCTTTCTATATAATCTTCCTATTGTTGAAATCGTAGAAACAATGCGTTAAGTTTGAAAATTCATATTGTTTGTGTCTTATTATTGATCCTAATAAAAAGTATATAAGTAAAAATTAACATAGTTTAAATTTCAAATACAAATATAAAAGTCTTATTTACCTTGTCAACAATAAAATAAAAAATATGATATGTCCATGTGTAAAATTCTTCTAAGTCTAAAAAAGAGGAAAACAATAACAAGACGAATTTAAGACGAGGATAGGGAATGTATCATATTGGTGTACATTTCGGGCAATGACTCTGTGTCATTTTGTCTGTTTATACCGCGCGCGCGCGCACGTGTGTCTGTTTTTTAATATGAACCATCTCAAGTCAGATATTAATTTTTTTTTGTAAGAAGGTTCTATATCTAAGATTTCGACCTTATCCCACTTAAAATTATGATTTAATTTTAATCTATGTTCGGTTATTACAGAAGGGGATTTTGATGTTTTATTAATATCTTTTGAGACATGTTCTTGTAATCTAGTTTTTAATTGTCTCTTAGTTTGCCCAACATAACTAGCATCGCAAATCAATACTATTTTTTATAAAACTTCGAGCTTCTTGTGTGGAATTATTATCTAATAATATTGTGTAAATACTAAATATAAATAGTGATAAATAATATAACGGACTATTAATTGAAGAAACTATAATTCTCATAGAATAGTTAACCTTGTGGATCTTAGTTAACCCATATGCTCTTAATATCTGTATTAATATCTGAGAGCATTAATTCTACCTTGTTTCTGTAATCAACTTTATTTAGAACGACTGTAACGTTACCCTTGTCTGCTCTGGAAAAAAATACTTCAGGAATTTCAGGATGATCTTTAGAAAACTTTTTTGTAGATTTTATCCACTCAAAAATCATTTTACTATTTGAATCAATTCTTGGGAACTCATTATGAAATCTTTCTAATATTGGAACAGCGTTATTTCTGACAAAATTAATTATATTGTTAGGACGGTTTGTTAATGTTATTCTCAATATTTTTAACAAACTCTATAAATGCGTATTCTAGATTATTTTTATTTATGGGAAGACCAAACCTTTCTCCTAACTGTAATAAATATTGAACTTCTACCGGTACGTCTATATTACTCAAATTAATAAACCATTTATTATTTGTTGAATTTAATGGAAAAGAATCCCCAAATTTGTCCGCCGAAATATGTATCTTTTCCAAAGAGCGACAAGTATCATTATCAATAACTTCTTTAATAATATTATTTCCTGATTCGTTATTAGTACATACATAGGAAATAGGCTTAATGTGAGATTTCTTAATTATTGAATCTTTCTTTTTTAACCAATACATTTTTCTATCTTAATTTTTACTTATATACTTTTTATTAGAATCAATAATAAGACACAAACAATATAAATTTTCAAACTTAACGCATTGTTTCTACGATTTCAACAATAGGAAGATTGTATAGAAAGAATGTTAATTTAATTTTAAGTACAATAATTGTATCATTGAAAATGACCCGATCGGAGTCGAAACGTCTGCCTTTGTATTAATATATGAATTAAATATCTGTAAATTATAACAATATTTATAAACCGTTTAGATTTCTTGCTGCTATATATACTTTAGTATATATATATATATAAAATTAAATATAATACTTACTTAATGGTTTCCTGGAAATGTTTCTCCTCGAGATCCAACTGAGGATCTGCTAAGCGTGATAATATATCAGGCACTATATTGTATAGACCATTGCCTTTTTGAGCAAGTTGACTGAAGAATTCTTTCGTATCCCGACGTATCTGTTCATCTTCATCAATGACACATAGAGCTAATTCCGAAACTTGTCCCTTTACGCGTATCATTTCTCTCATTATCAAGTTCGATAACATACGAACGCATGTTCTACGTACGTTTACATCCTCATCTCGAAGTCTATAAAGACAAATATTGACATAATAATATCATCTTACTCTCTCAAATTTTTTGCTGTTTTATACGAAATAAAACAAACTATTGTATAAACAAAAGCTATAAAAAAATTAATAATTTTTAAAAGTATTTTTTTAATGACGCACGCACGTACGCACGCACACAATTTGATCATTAATATAAACAAAATTTTTATTTTAAATGCTAAAAATTGGTGTACAAAAACCAACTTACCTGCCATAGATGTGTTTCGACCATGGTTCCACTTGATTGGGAAATTTAGTAGCAAGATCACTTAATCCGATCAGCATATTCGATCGAATCCCGGGATATGGCGATCGTTCCAATATGGTGATTAGGAGTCTCAAATATTGTTCGCAAAATTCAGAACTGACTGTCATCATTTTGCTGAGCGCGTATGAACCTGCTGCTTGCACATTCTCGTTGTTATATTTATCAGGATATTGGCACACATCCAATACTAGTGGACTGTAAGTAATTGTGCATATATTAATTTTAATATCTAATAATCGAATGTCATTCTTGCAATTCTCAATACGTACACAAATTTGGCGAGCAAGCCATCCCCAGTAACGATTTCATGTTCGAGTGCATCATTCACAAATTCCGCCTCAGCATCATCTACTGCACCCTCTAATGCTTCTTCTCCGTTATCCTCACCAATTATCGAGCCTTCTTTATTTCGAAAGACTCGTTGCGACGAATTCGACAAAATTGACATGTTCAACGACTTAGATCTTATATCAGGTGTCGAATTTTTCGTTATTCGTTTCTTTTTTTTACCCTGCATTTCTCGTAGCGTATTTCTACGCTTCAGTTCCTTATAAATGGATACATCCAGGTGAACTAACTGTTTGATGGCAACGTGTCCGATTACGTAAAGTAATTTAGAGAGAACAGTACTCGATATATCGGATATTTCATTTGTTTCTTTATTCATAAATTGACCCTTTTCGATGATACTCAATAATAATTCCTTCATCAACTTATCCGGTTGATTCGCCAACTGCAAAGTAAAACTTTCTCAGCGTGATACTCTAAATACATTAGTAAAATGGTAGTGTTTTGGCACTAAAAACATGCGTATTTAATTAACGTACAATAATTCTACTTACATGATATATAGCATTAATTGCATCCGTCGCGAAAGAAATGTAAGCATTTTCTTCTGTACTAGTAAAAAAATCTATTAATAACGTCAGGATCTCTTTAAACATGTCATGATTATTAGGATACCTATGTGATAAAATATGTTTTTTATTAACAATTTCTTAAAAGCTTCAAATTATTTTTATCTTTAGAGGCTTACCTCAAAGGTGGCTTTTCAACATCATTGCTATTTTGTTTAATTTTTAACAACATTCTGCAAGTATCTCGTGCTAAAAGAAGGTCATCTTTTGCGCGTGAACCTAATCCTATCTTCATTAACACATCCAGATTATCAGACGCTATATTAGATTTTGCCTGAGCTATCATCGTTATTACCATTAACGCGGTTCTGCTATCTATTGGTGAAGTATCTGGATATTTCATAGAGAATTTTTCCCATAATACCTACATGTACAGTATTCATTAGATTACATTGTCACTTCGTCTTCAAAATACTCAAAATATTTATAACTTAACGTTAAACAAAATTCAATTTAGTATTAAATATTTAAATATATTATGTAAAAGAGTAATCGATGCATAATCGACAGGTTTGATCTCAAATTTTATTTTATTCAAGGGAATCCATTTTAAATTCAATGCAGTCTATTTTCCTTCGAAATTACTAATAATACAAAAAAATGTTTCAAATGAAGGTAGAACAGTTTCAAGAGGGATATATTTTGGTCACGATAAAAAGCTCATCTAAAAAAAAATCGTGACTAAATAAACCCCACTTAAAACTCCACTTTTATCTAAAACATATCTTAAAATTATTAATAATTTTGAGGAAAATTGTTGATTAAAATGGACTATCCTGAGTATATTTCGGTTTTATATAAAATTGATTGAAAAGTTTAAACATTATGTGGAGGAAGGAATCTAAAATGAATAGAATGGATAATTATCTTTGATATCCATATTTCAATTATTAAATATACTTACTTGTAGCAATTCACTGTTTAAATCTCCGTTTTCGTACCACGTCACAATCAGTAGAGTCAAAGCCACACTTTGTCCAGGCTTTAATTCCTTCATCAATTCGATCAGACGATTCGCACGAGCAACGGCTATTTGACGGGTTGATCGTTTATCATTATTCATATCAAGGTAGATCTCTTTGTACACTACGGCCACATTATTACGCACAGACTGATCGCGATGGAATACTTGAAATAGAGCCTCACGCATAGAGTTGGCCGCACCGGTTACTCCGAATTGAAAAGCAGTTCCCAAAAATGTGCATGATTCAACGGCGTCTCCAGCACATGTAGAAAATAACAATTTTTCTGCCATTGGTATTGCCTTTTCCAACTCTGTTGCAAATTTCAGACAATTCTGCAGCAAAAAAATATATATAACACGTACAAATATACAATAAAACGGTTCAAAAGGATCGCAATGTTCAATTTTATATGTCTCATACTTTTAAATAATTTATAACGCGCTTTCGTAATCTTAATTCTTCTTTATTGTTGTTGTCTTGTTCTGAATTTTGCGCGTCGTTATTAGCATTTTCATCATTTGACGATTTATTTTCTGACTCTATGAAAATCTTCAATAAAAAAGAAAGTAAAAATTCCTCTTTCGCTGCAGTAGAAAAATTTTCCATTCCAGAAACTTGTTCTAATGTCATACATGTATTCCACAGATATGTTACCGCTTCAGTGACTTGTCGGTTTAATAATAATTGTCTCACATGCTCGAACGCATGATTTGGATCGATATCCATCTGTTTTACATCTACAAAAAATTCATACAATTAATCTTGTAAAGTATTTTGCAAGCAAATTAATAAATAAGCAATTAAATAATGTATTGACAAGAAATATAATATAAATTTATAATACGCACTATCTGTATGTTCCTTATTAGTGTTCAGAATATTCTTTATTGCTGCCTTTATATCTGATTGTAAAACGGTCCAAAGCTCGAATCTTTGTTTGTTACCACGTCCACTAGTACTCACGATATTGGTTTGTAATTCTTGTAATTTTGTCATCTCTTTATCGAGTGAATTTGAGAGTTCAACGCAATTTAACTGCACAGGTATACAGGTTAGTTTAATCATTAAAAAAAATAGTTAATTTACATATTTACATACCTTGCCTGCAAAAGGATTACTTTGCAACAGAGTACGCAGCAATTGAAGAGCCTGTTTGCGAACATTTGCGCTCTTATCTTCTAATCGTAATGCGGTGCTGGCTAAAAGCTTCCCATGTCTTGCTAATGGCACAGCGCCTTCACAACATAAATGTTGCCAAATCTGAAGCACTTTTGATCTCACATAAGCATTGCAATCTAACATATGCTCTTCCAAATTATCCAGACATTCGTCACGTTGGTCTTTCTGTTCACCTGTTAGATCCTCACCAGTCAGTGCTTTTTGCACCACAGCACCCAAGATTCCAATTACACAGTTTCTCATTGTATAAAACTATTAAAAGAATTCAATAAAGTTTCAATAAGCACATAATTTAATATTTTACTGTATAAACAATAAAGGCCTAAAAATAAAGATGGCCATAACAGAGTCACATTTATAGGCTGATCAAAACATTGTGTATTGACTTATGACTATGACTCATGTTTCACAACTCAGTTATAGTCATTTTTATGCTAAAACATTGTGTATTGACTTATGACTATGACTCATGTTTCACAACTCAGTTATAGTCATTTTTATGCTAAAACTCTAAAGAATTAAGAATTGTACTGTAAAGCTACATGAAATTGACCATTTACAGTCAAATATAAGGAGAATAATTAATTTCATTCTACTTATATTCCATTATGAGTATTGTAACTGATCAATTTCTTATAGCTCATAGCATAAAAATTAACAGCTTAGTCAGTGTAAATGATCTTTTATTCAATCAGTAGCATGAGAATTATAATGAAAACATACCTCACTTGACAAATAATCTGTGATATCATCAAGGATTGGAATTATGAGATTAGGCTGCGAAATTGCAATATTCTCCAGAAACATAGATGTGTTGCGGTTATCTGTCTCATTAATTTCGCTTTGGCCTATCTCATTCATCACTTCTTTTATCAAACCATTGCAGCTGCATTCAGTAACCATATGTACTACGCCAGTGGCTATTGGTACTGCCAGTGAGTCATACAATCTTACTAACTGTAACATTACGCACATAAGTATGTTTTGTATAAATATAAATTACAAATATTTATTCAGATAAGTACCTGAACAATTCTCACAACACAAGTTATTCCATGATTGTACTTTTTAATCAAAGTTCCTAGAATCTGTAACAAAAAATATATAGCCATTGAATATAAGATACAATACAATGTAAGATTCATATATAAAAGTACTATTGACAATACTTATAATACTTAAAATAAGTAATTAATTGACCAGCATTAGTATTACATTTATATAAAGGACATGCAAACATAAATAGTAATACCTCAAATATAGTTTCTCTTATGTATTTTTGCTTTGCATCCCTACTCTGTTCTAATATCTTATAACATATCTGTGCTAAAGTCCTGCAAATATTATAATTATAACACATTATTTTAGAATTAACTTGAAATAAACTTAATAACTTAGCACTGTATAATTTACATGACAAATGAATTATCAACAATAGGTGGTCTCCACATTTTATGCAATGGGATCTGTAGCCACCGAAACAGAAGTTCCAATGCTTTCTGCCTAGATTGCTCCCATTCCTCTTCGATATCCGACTTCGTGGCTTTCTTACGCTATAAAGAAACATTCATATTTTTATCCATATAACTTTAACATATTCTGTCAGTTTCATACCTTTCCAATATTGCTCTCATTTATATTCCTTATATGTTCCTCTATATGACAAATAAACCAGGAAAATAAATATGCCAACATATTGTTAATGCATAAATATATTTCCCTGTCTTCTTCCTCTGTAATATCTTTGTCATGATCAAATATTTTTTCCAGATCATCCACAAGTATCTCTACAGCTGAAAATCACATATGTTTAAATCTATGTAAAATAATTATTCTATTTTGATCAATCATATAATGATATCTATCCATAAAAACACAATGTCACTATCTTTAATATAAAAATAAAACATCTTCCAAAGAATATTACCCTTGTGAATTCTAGTGAAATAACGTAGACAGATCTGAGGTTCCACTTTACTGCCATGAATAATGACAGAAAAAAATATATCAAAATGATTCAAAATAAAATGTGCACCATTTGCTTGCAATACTGATCGTGTAGCTGTAATACAAATTAAAGTAGGTTTTAAACTAACTTAATACAATTATTATTCTAATTATTTATACATACCAATAACATACAATGATATATTTACAATAATTTATTAATTATGATAAATTTAATATAATATTAAATTTAATACCATCTAAAGCTTGTGATAGCGCTCGCAAAGGAGTAATCTCTTCAACAAAATATTGCCCAGCATGTGACGTTAAAAGCTCGTCTTTTACTAAAGGAATCACAAATTTTTTCACCATTTTCACGTAATGTCGAAACAATCAACAAAAAGCACTGTTAATAAGCTTCTTTATACCGCTCTATAATATTTTTGTCAAATATCTAAAAATTATATTTTTTCTAATTTGTTATTTATACACTCCACTCCAACTAAACATTTTCTTTGATTCTCTTTTTGAATTAACTTTTGAAATTTCTAAATCGAAACAAAACTTAAGCGATTTTAAACAAAGCTAACCAACGCCACTAACGGAAAATAGCGTTTGTATTTCACAGAACGCGACAACGTTGCCACCACTGGCCTGGTTTACATCGTGCACTTGATACGCGTACTAACTGGTTACTTTCTATTAAATTATCTTAATTTCAGCGATATATGTAAATGTATACACAATAAACGTATTTAGTTAAACATTTTGATGCGTATTGTATCAATTTTATACATCATTCTTTAAATACATTGCTGAAATTAAGATAATTTAATAGAAAGTAACTAGTTAGTACGCGTATCAAGTGCACGATGTAAACCAGGTCAATGGGCGCGTTCAGCGGACTCAACAGTTGAGTGAACGCTCGCTATTATTGGTGCATTCTTCTAGATTAAAAATTCTGATTGGATGATCTAAAAGAATACACCAATAATAGCGAGCGCTCACTCAACTGTTGAGTCCGCTGAACGCGACCATTGGCTGCGTTCAGCAGAGAAAGCAGCTTTGCTTGTTGCAAAATTCTTTAATATGATTGGTCTTGCTCTTACTTCCTCATAAGATCTAAATGTATAAGGTTGCGCACAATAGGAGAAATATTAGGAACAGATATTAAATATAAGAATTTTAATCTATCAGAACTGTGTACTGTGGAATGTGCGCTTTCTGACATGTTAAAATTCTTATATTTAATAACTGTTCCTAATATTTCTCCTATTGTGCGTAGACCCTAAGCCAATCATATTCAAGAATTTTACAACAGTTGCAAAGCTGCTTTCTCTGCTGAACGCAGCCATTGCTCGTTGATTGACCAATTAAAAAATGGCTACGTTCAGCAGACTCAACAGTTGAGTGAGCGCTCTTTGTTATTGGTGTATTCTTCTAGATTTAAAATTTGATTGAATAATCTAGAAGAATACACCAATAATAGCGAGCACTCACTCAACTGTTGAGTCCGCTGAACGCGACCAATCGTTTATTAGTCAGCCATTTTTAATACCAATGAATGAATGTCATGATTGGTTGACAGTCACGCCAATCAGGACGCGGAACATCGGTTCTGATATCTAGGGGCCGGTATTCATAGTCAGTTCTTATTAATCTTATGGCGAATTCGATTGGGATGCACCAGTGCAGGGTGATTGCACCAGTTCATCTTTTTTCCCTTTCCCTTCTCCTGAAGAGAAAAGGAAAACAAATGAACTCAGGTGCACTCAGTGCGCACTAGTGCGCACTAGTGCATCCAATCGAATTCGCCAT